AAATTACCATTTAAATTTGTGTTCGGGTTTCCTAATCCACCTTTTATTTGAAAAAGACAAAAGTGAGCTATTCACTTGTACAGTACAACGTTTTCTTGCTTGTACCTATTGATTTTGCCAGCAGCCTTTGCAACTACCTATCCAATAATGTGCTTCAGTGAAAAGAGAAAACAAGCCTCTTCCTTTATGACACCCATGTGTTTAACAGGGAAATTGTATACATTTGTTGTCTTTTAAAGGAAACTTGCTATACTGTATATCAACTGTCCCAAAAATGAAAATTATAAAGTCACGACCACACACAAAATTAATTTGCACCTTCGAGAATGTTTTGGAACGGTTTACAAAGACCTAGATCAGTGGTCCCCAACATTATAACGACTCCTTAGCTCTGTCTCTGCCTTCTTTGCAGAAGAGCGAGAGCAGAGGAGAGAGAAAGGCGTGAAGGCAGAGATGCAGTCAGCTGTTAATCACAATGCATCGCTGCCATGTGTTAAAAATATTATTAAATAAAAACAGAAGAAGAATATGGATTTGATTTATGCAATAAAAGTTTAATATTTAAAAAAATTCTAAGGAAAATCTCAAGTTACGCACAGTGAGTCTGCATCTGCCGGCACCTGTAGTTCTGAAGACTAAACATGCACTCTGCTGCCGCTGTCGCTTTAGCAGGAGGAAATTCTGCAGCATGCGCTCGCGCTGTGCCACTGTTTCACCTGCCTCACAGACACGCTCCAAAGCCTGTCTTCACTGCGCTGTCAGCTCCTGGAGATGCATTCAGTAAGGTGTGTAGATCTGAGATGACGATCAGATGGGAATCTTTTATTTTATTTTAGATTAAATTAGACACCTCCGTGATGTAGAACTACTCCTTGCGTAAAGCTGAAAATGTCTCTGTGTGTGAGTGTGATGCCACAGTACGGAGCCCGTGAGGGACATGGGAGATTTTTTTCTTTTGCAGTCCCACGCAATAACTTTTGCATTCCCTCGCAAAAGGCGTGTAACACTATTGTGTATCACACCTGCCAATTTATTAACAAACTCACATGTTCACCATTAGCGAGTTAGCTTTAATTCAGCTTCAGAATGAATATATCACACAGCCATGCATGGAAGTATGTCATATGCCGATATTTTAACGTAGTGCAGCCACGCAACATCAGTGTCAATTTTATGAACTGTGGTGACACATCCTGTTTTGGTAACCAGATATTTCAAAATAAAAGTCTGATTTAATTCAGTTCAAATTCAAAACAAACTATTGCGTGGGAACACAAAACAATATTACGAGGGAACACAAAGGTATTGCGAGGTAACGCAAAAGTATTGCGAGGTAACGCAAAGATAATGCAAGGTAACGCAAAAGTATTGCATGGTAACGCAAAAGAAAAAAATTCCCCCATGTCCCCTCGCGGGCTCCGTACCACAGAGCCGTCTTGTGAAGCTTTGATTTTTTTTTCTTCGCCTCACCTGGCATATTTATTAAGTCTTCCAGACTTAAGAGGTCAGGGGTGTTAATTGCAACCTGTCAATATGATGGACAGCCTTCAGATTTTTCCGTCATTGTGTTAAAAAACAATCAAAAATTGAAAATAATGTGCGCTGCAAGTCTCAAATCACAGAGATGAGGGGCATCTTCCTCTTCCTAGSGTTATTTGGTTATTATTTATTTCAATGTTGTTTATTTCATTAATGGGATTATTATTTATTTCCTGGTTTCTGGAAAACAATAAATGTTTAAGTTAAGGCACCCCTACGACCATCACACTTTTGTGATACAAACTGACCCTGGCCCCCCATCAGAGAAGGGAAAAGTTATGTGGCCCTCACAGGAAAAGGTTTGGGGACCCCTGACCTAGATGATCCACAAGAGAGATTGGAGGTGATTTGCATGTGAGTTCAACAACTCACTATGGCTCAACAACAGTTTATATAAAACTGCACCTGTTCAATTTTCTTTTTTAAAAAAATATTGAGCTGTGTTTGCCTCAAACATTTTTTTTAGACCAAGGTTATTTTTTTTTCAAATTCAGATAGACAAGTTGACAGAAAACCAACTAAAATATTGTTCTGGAATAAATTTGTTTTGTGGTTATAATCAGAAATTAGATAGCACCATTTGGTCCATGTGGTACACCAACTGGCTTTTAGCATGATGGTTTTGTTTTTGAGAATCCAACATTTAACATTGAGCCAAGGCTTTTGCATTGGTTTTCTTGTAAGACACTGACAATCAGTTTGACTCATGTTGATTTAATTAGATTTGTTTGATACGCTTATGATAAAGTTACTGAGCAGCACTTCATGAAGACAAGTTAATTGTTTAATCTAGAGCATACTATGAATTCAGCCTGTGATCCTGATGTTGATCTGGCCAAATGTTGACTTAGTTATACTTGCTATGTAATAATTAATGAACATTATAGGCCAAWCTAACACTTGGTGTTAGCCCAAGAAGCTAATGTGTATAATTCCCCTGGGAACATTGTGTTTACTCAGAATAAACAAACAAAAAAAAAAAACAATTTTGATGTGTACTTTTTTCAGCTTTAGCCTGAAATCATCAGACTGAACTGGAAATCCTTTGATCCTAAATGCCATGACTATCACTCTGGCTGATTTCTCTTGTGGCAAGCGGCATCATCAAATGTTCACCCACCCTGTCACGCCTGTTCCACAGCTGATTTTCAAGTCTAGAGATCACATTTATCCAAAGGGAAATAAGGTGAAATCCTGCCCAGCACTCGGTGTGAACAGATGACGATTATAACATGACGTGAGGGAAAAATTCCTGTTGTTCCCGTGAAAGCGTTACTAATGAATGGCACCGCTCCCGTATTGTCTCAACTTCAGTTGTGCCAATGATGCACTGTTGCTGAGCCAARAAGCGTGTCGACCTTTTGGCCCGAAATGCCTATGGCATATGTGAACTGTACATGCGACTGTGCAGGCACCAAAACACAGAAAGTATGTGTATTAGGTTCCCCACTTTCACCACAGACACTCCCCAGACACAGCATGAACAGAATACCACACCATGGCATGCCACGTGTTTAAGTCTGTGTGTTTGTGTTGGTGCAAATGTCCGAGGATCGGGGTGGGGCCTTCTGTTCAGAGCTGGTGTGTGAGTCTGTCAGCTGTTGTGCACAGACGGTCTGAGACCAGCAGCTCACCCTCCACCCACTCACACAGGAGCACATATAAACACATGCCATACAAACACGACCAAAAGTGAACCTCTAAAAAATGTCTGACACAGTGTGTCATGTAGCTCTGCCTCACATTTTACTGGTTCATTTAAATTAATAATTCTGCCGACCTGCTTTTTTATACACTTAACAGACGTGATGAATAACAAGAATTACTAATATTATTGTGTATTAGTCATTTGTCACAATTTATGTGAACAGTAGGCTGTGTTGTCATCTCAGACTTATACGGTAAATCTACCATAAATGTCAGTGACAGTCCTAAAAAAATATTTTAAAGCTCTAATGAAATCAAATTTAGTTTTTGCATGATTGCAAATTGTTTTGTTTTGTCACCCAGTCAAAACAAAAATGCATGTCTTAATAAATCCAGAAATGTGTTTTTTGAAGTGCAGGGGTGCCCAAACTTTCTCCGGAGAGGGCCAAAACGACAAGCAATCCAAGTGRTATGGGCCAAATGCAATACTATAATACATGAAATGCAAATATGTTTAAAGTAAAGTCCTTTTCTTATGCTTTTGAATGTTTAAGCTAGAAGCAAGTGCTGGCCCACCTTTCTTTCTTTTTTTTTTTACTTGGAGAAAGTTTGACATACACTTGGSCAACAAAGTCTCATGGAACATTTCACAAATTTATAATACGAGTATTAGTGGTCTTAAAAAGTGTGCAAAAGTGTGCTTACGTAAATCTAATTTAACTGTCTATTGTGGTTACTTGTATTTTATGTTTAAACTTAATATAATTCAAAGATAAAATAAGCACAATGTGTAAAAACTATCTCCACTACAGCATCTATAGTTATTGGGCCAACTGGAAGAAATGACTGGAAGTGGAAATACAAGATTATTACCTGTTGGTGGTGCTCCACACTTAATGGCTTTGTCAATATTTGCCCGTGGGCCCCACTTTCGGCACCTCTGCGCAATCTACAGTTTATCAATTCTGGAGAAACAATGTTTTTTTAAGACTCAATCTACACTTACAGACACTGTGGACTAATTGTACATGCAAATAAATGTACATATTTTTCATTTTTCATTTTAATTTTTACAGACCTGCTGCAGAACTGTGGTTTCATCAGGTCTCTGAGTTAATCAGAAATAAGAAACTGTCTTATTT